ACTTGACTAAATTTCAAAGTTACTCACATGGAGTAGAGTTATATTCATTAAAAATGCTGCTTATTTTACAAAAGATACATAAACATTATATAAAGAATGAAACGTACAATTCAAGAGTATCATCTATTCCTCCTGGGGGAGGAGTCCATCAATAGATTAATTTTAATTGTTATAAACAAATAATACAATTTTTCAGAGACTTTTGATAAAAAAAATTTTATCCATACTTGACTTTCAAGTTAAGTGTCACAATTAACTGAATTACCTAATCTCTAGCTTATTTATAATAATCACCTAAAACAGCATTAAGGTTGTAACTCTTGGCAGGTGAAACACGTTTAGTGGCCACCCTATTTCTTATTACAACAGAAAATAACATAAGTAAAAACACAGCAGACCCTCAAGTTACGACTGGCCTGACATTACAAACAATGTGGGTTAGGTTAATTGAAGATTCATTTGCCTCTTGTGATCTGTAGCATGTACCCAGGTAAACAGCCAGATCTCAGCTGTATTGACTTACACCCAACTTGAGTTACAACCAGTCCTCAGGAAGCGATTGAGTTCATAAGTCAAGGACCCGCTGTATTTTGTGGAGTTTTTAATTCAGTTACAAGAGATTCAAAAAAGTCCAAAAATATGGGCCAGGGATTTAGCTCAGTGGTGCCGCTGCCTGCCTCACAAGCGCAAGGTCCTGAGTTCGATCACTGGTACAAAAAAAAGTTCAAAAACCATTGACCTGAAAGTATCAACTGCCAAAAACAGTGCCTGGAATGCAGCTGCCACCTAAAATGTTCGACTGAGCACAAATACTTCTTTTACTATGGTCAGTCTAATAGCAAACATTTACTCAATGTCTACTATTGACTGCACGTACCACTCCCTTCACAAACATTATCTGATTAATTTTTACTAAAATCTTGTAAGTTACCCCCATCTAAACAAGAAACTAAGGTTAAGTAATTTATTGAAAGCTATATAAAGGGGCAGGAGATGTGAACTTGTTCTGTTTGACAACACAGCCCATAGCTTTCTGCTACAGTGTCCCTCTTTATAACTGTCTCCAAATATAAAAGTTTTCAATAAAATTTCTACAGTAAAAATGGATTTTTCTCATGCATTACCTCATGGTTTAAACAGTACTACAACCTATATAAATTGTTTTTCTAATACATTTAAATAATTCAAATAAAAATAAAGGTTCTCATAAAATATTTTCCAGTTATACGCCTTTGATATTTAAATAAAGGTAAGTTCTTTCTGACTGCCAAACCATGTTTTGGACACAGCAGCTCAGTTCAGCAAATGGGAAAACCTCTGATTAAAGCAAAGGAAAAAATTTTCTGAAAAACTGAATCATGAGAAATCAGTTAGCCCTTCTGATGATAATGAGCTAAAACCTTAAAATTTCACAACCAAATTATTCTCCAGCCAGATAAGCAAACCTAAGGCCAAGTAAGAAAGCTGGGAAGAAAGTATCAGGTTGAACTATATGGAATTGTCAGCAGATAACAATTCCCATGAATCAATCTATGACCTAATTGTCACATTTGGAAAATATCAGGTTAAACACAGTTAAAACTGGCCCTTCTAGCTCAGGACTTCTCAGAGCACTTAATATGAATCACACCTCCAAAAGGAGGACCCTTTACCCTAAAGAACATAAGAAAGTATACAGATAGAAAGTGATTCATCTAAGGTCACACAGTTACCTACAAGTAAACTGAGAACCATAACCTCATTCTCTTGGTTCCCACTTCAAAATTCATTCAGCTCCTCCAAAATTTTACAATACTGATTTAAATAAAAGGGGGGGGATGTAGCTCAGGGGTCCCGCGCACTTTTTATATAAATGTAAGTTAGGAAACATTAGTGGTTTCTTCCGGTGCTATTTACTACCACTGCAACAAAAAGTAAGCAATAAGTAATTTTTATATAACAAATTTCCTCAAAAAAAGCTAAGATATAGTATTTACAAAGTTTACACACTTTGATGGTATTCTAAAACTCGTAATTCTTAGCAAAAAATATTTCCCCTAGAAAATCCAAGATACCTGGATCAGTACCTGGATGGAACTCAGAGGATGGAAGAATGGTAAACTAATTGTTGGGGACATTAAAGCAGAAATCATGTTTGTTTTCTCAACACTATATCAGAACCTGACACACACTGAGTATTCAATATATATCTGCTAAAAGAATAATGATCTCAGCTGTACCACAAATTGCTCTAAGATATTGATCAAATTATAGTATCAATGAATCTGAATTTCCCCATTTGCAAGTGGTTAGACTCAAAGACCAAGATTCTAACTTTAAGAATTCATGAAACTTATGCAAATTAAACCTCAAATCCCCAGCAGTTGAGGATATGTCTATGAATAATCAAAAATTAGAACAAAACATTTGCAAAGCACTTTATATTAATTACCTCATTTAATCCATGCAATAACCCTGCAAATCAGCCAGACAGGTATCATTACTCACATTTTACAGGTAAAGAAACTGAGGCCCAGAGAGGCTGTCTAGACAAGAACCACAGAGTTATGAAGTAATGATGTTGTGGCTTTAACTCAAGACTCTGGCATTGAATTCCCCAAAGTTTTCCATTATACCTTATCACTTAATAGGGAACGGGATGCATCCTGGATGAGACAGTACCCCTGGCTTTAAGCTACTGATTATTAACAAGCCTACAGAACTAAAGGTCTCTCCAACTCTCTTACACACACCATTACACACATAGCTTAAAGCTCCAACTCCTCTGTGAAGAAAAAGGTCATGACCTTAAGGCAACAAATTAATCACATTTTTTCCTTGGACTCCAACTTTGACTATGACATAACAGAGGATGACATTATCAAGAGACACAAACTACCTAAATTATGAACAGAAATCTTTACATCAAAAGACAGTTTTAGTTCCAATGATACAGACTCAGCTAAATACTGTTATTTATTCCTTTCTTATGCTACATGTAAAGTACCAGCTCCATCCACCCATCACCCATCATCACACTCTTGCTCCAAACAGGGGAATGAACCAAGGGCCTTCACTCAGTGCTACATCCTCAGCCCTTTCTATTTATTTATTGTACTTCTATTTTGAGACAGTTTCACTAAATCGCCCAGGCTGGACTTAAACTTGTTATCCTCCTGCCTCAGTCTCCCAGAGTGCTGGGATTACAAGCACACACCACCACACTCAGCTAACAACTCCACTTCTGAAAACTTTGGTAGTGGAAATGTGACAAACTAAGACTCTCCAGGTCTTGTTACATAACACAGCTCAAAACACATTACTCCAAGTACCACTTCTCTAAACTCAAGCAAACTCAAACTCAGCTGTGGGACTAAGCTTGCCATTACAATAAACAAATAGCATTTACCTCACACCTTTCCTTTCCAAGAAATACAACTGAGCAACCAGAAGTATCCAGGTTATGGATTTAGATTTCCCCAAGATTCTAAGCAATCTGCTGGCTCTATTTGTTAACTCTATTAACGTGTATCTTAAATACATAGTATTAAATCGTTTCTCACAGCTATAGCTAAATCATTCAGTAGCAAGTACACTATACCAAACATATACTTATTAATTTCTCAAATATATAACACTATTGAGTTCTCTGACATGAAAATTAAACAAGCACTACTATCTTTCTGAAGTTTACATATGGAACTACACATGCTCTAGAGTATGCTTACAATGGAGCTGTACTTATTAAGAAAAACATATATGTAAATACACTAATGGTGCAAAAGAGTGACTAAAGAAAAAAGACGATCAATTTTCCAAAACACACAGAGAAATGACATAGCTGTCCACATTTATACCACAAGATCATTAGTTACTACCATGATCTGCAAACTTCATAAGTTTCGAAGAACTGAACAAAAGCGTAGCTTGTTATTTCCCAGCTCAAAATCTCCAGAGATTCAAGAGACTCCCACACACATCTGAAAGGAAGTGACATGTGAAATTAACAAACCCAAAACTACAAGCAAGGCATCCAGCAGTACTTAACATTCCTCGGCTAGTAAAAAAATGCTGAACAGAATCAGCCGCATCTCCACTTCAACGCTAATCAACTTGGGAAGACCTGTCGACAATCCTTGCCGGCTAATCAAAAACTTCTGTGAATTGTCACAAAATAAAAGCCACGGTCTATGTGTCAGCTTTGCGGTCCAATTCCAAACATCACAGGGCCACTGACTTTAAGTGATTCCCAGAGCAAATTATCCAGAGCAGCCTGTTATTTACCGACGTGCCAAGCCGTCCCCAGGGGTACACAGCAAATAATTCAGTTCCCGGGACAGGCTCCTCATCACCCAAAGATGACTCCCCTACTTGGTGCACAACTGCAGAACTCGAATACTCCGAAAACAGAGGCGAGTCCTGAATATCAGGGGTTACGAGGCCAACGTTTGTATTTTATTATGGGCTGGCGCTTAGAAAATTGCCAAGGTTGAAACGCTCGACCTATAACCCCGGAGTCACTTTCCAACTGAGCTCTCACCCAGGATCATTATATCCCAAACGGAAGCCAATTATGAGTCGTAACAAGGCCTGGAAAAAACAGCAAGAGGGCTTTAAAAGTTCACCTAAGAGACACGCAAAAGGTGGGAGGCTTCGAGGGAAAAGGCCAACATGCAAGCACCTTGGGCTCAAACACATTTAAAGCCAAAGTGCGTACAAAGACTCTTTTCCCTGATGACTTCGGGCAGAAAGAGCACCACGGACGCTCAGTCATTCCAACAGAGCGGGGCGCCGGGGGCTGGCCGAGAGCGCCAGCCTGAACTGACGCTCAGCTTTGTCCAGACGCGGCGTGCAGGGCCGGGCGGGGGTCTGCAGTGCGCCCCGGCGGCGCGCAGCCCCTTCTCCCGGGCCCCTCGCTCGCTCCCCGCGCCTCTCCCCGCTCCACCTTCCCTCCCCTCCCCCGCCCGACACCCCGCGCCAGCCCGCCCCCAGCCCCCCAACTTTCCGCCCCTGCGCCTCACCTCTCAAGAGCACGCAGAGACTGCAGGCCAGGAGGCTCCTCAGGACGGGCCCCATCTTCCCTTCTCGCGCGCTCTGCTCTCACCGGCGACGGGCGGCCCGAAGAGGGCGAGGCGAAGGGCCCGGGCGGCCGCCGCAGCGGCGGGTCTGCACGCTCATGCTTCCCCAGAGAGAAGAAAGAAAGACGCACGTCCAGGCTCCGCGCGCGCCGCCGCCGCCCTCTACCGCGCCGCTGTGCCCCTGGCTCGCGCGACGCCAGCGTCTGCTCCCATCCCGCCGCCTCCTCCCCGGCGCCCCACGTCCCCCGCGCCGCTCCTCATTCAGCCTCTTCCTTACGCGCAGCGCGCAGGGATCCGCCGGCGCCGCGCTAGGGTCGCCGCCGAGGTCTTCCTGCGCGCGGCCAACCCCCTCTCCCTCAGCTCCGCCTCACGCGCGGGGAGCAGAAGAGGCGGGAAGCCCCGCGCCGCCCTCCACTCGGACACCGCGGGAGACGCGCCGCGCGAGAAGAGGCCAGTGGGAGAGAAAAGGCCGCGCGGCGGCGCATTCCGATGGGATTCTTTCCCGGCCGGCCGCTCGAGCCCTCCCCGCGGAGGGCGTGAGGCGACGTCGGGAAACCTCGACCGGCGTGATCGGGACTACTTTCTGCGGCTCGGCCCGGCCGCCGCCTGCCTGGCTCTTTGTGCGGCCGGTGGCGGCGGCGGCGGCGGCGGCGGCGGTGGCGTGGCTGGGTGCTGCTCGCGCTCCCGCGGGCGGACGCCCAGCCCGGGGAGCTCGGCTCCGAGACCTGAGACGCCGGCCCACGCTCCGGAAGCCTCAAAGGATCCCGTCACGGGGTGATGGCCTCCGTTGCCAAAGTTAGAAATCGCTTCATCATTTTTTAAGGAAAAATTCAAACGCTAGTTAACACTAGCTTTCGGCGTTGGTCCGGTGGAGGGTGTTCAAACGCCAACTCAAAACAGATTTTTGTTTTCGCCTGGCTTCCAGAAATGCAGGCTTCCCCCAGCGTGAATCCTGACAAGGACTAAAGGTTTCCGAATTGGCAGATAAGATTCCAAGATAGAGGCGTCAGCGCCTGACACAGAGCGAAGGGACCAAGGAACAATGCTGTGTTACGCGTTGCATTTAATAATGGATGTTTGGTACGCTTTGATACTTATTTCTCTACTTGAGGGAGAAAGGATCCCGCAGATCTAAGCTTGGACAACCTCTGCCGCTCCGGGAGCACTAGGCATGGAGGAGCAGGGGTCCGGACGCCGCCCCCCCCCCAACTCACCTAGCAGGCTTCAGTGTAGGCTGAGGCAGTCCAAGAGTTAATGGTGGAGTCATCGGGTGCATTCTGCCCAGTGCATTGCATTCTGCCCAGTCGTCACACGCCCTTACCTGCAGGCAGATGGGCACGGGAGCCGAGCTACTACACATTGTTACTAATATCTCAGGGACATTGGCGTTCACCTGGTGCTCTCACAAGCACATTATCAGATTTGACACCCAAGACTACCCCCGGGTAAGGCAGGTTTTGTTACCTGTTATATCCATTGTACAGAGAAGGAGAATGAGAACCTGAAAGGCTCAGTGACTTACCCAAGGCCTCTCGGGTTGTGAAAAGCAGGACCTGAACGACCCAGTTAGGATTGTGCAAGTCTGTCAAAAAATGTTTATAGTTAAGCTTTTAAAAAGTGGAAGGGCACATACATTTTACTGTTAGGAAAAACATATACAGTACATATATATAAACATCAGTAAATGCACTAAAGTAGGCATTAAGATAGAGATGTACTTTTCTTCAATTTCCGTTCATCATTTACTACAAATTTTTTAAGCTACTTTAAGTGAAACTCTGCAGCTTAAACTTAAGCCCTAGCCAGAATGCTATTATTACATACCTAATTTGCTTTTTGATCATTTAAGTGTCTATTAGATAGCAGTCCCTGTGTTAAATGTCAGAGATTTAAAGGTGAGAGTAATTAAACATAGTTCCTACTCTCCAGAAGCTTACAGCTCAGCTTGGAACACTAATTAATAAAATTAACAAAAATGTTAAAATAGCTAAATATAGAAAGGCTTGAGTCTGCCTAGACAAATCAAAGAACAAGAAATAACCCTAGAGCTGAGGCTTGAAATAGAAGTCAGAGTTTGCCAGGCCCAAAAGATTGGCAAGAAATTCCAGGCAGAAGGATGGCAGGTGCAAAGGCACTGAATTATTAGAGACCCTGGTATGTTGGGGATTTGAAAGTAGATCTCTATGGCTGAAGATAGGGTTCTTTTAGAGAATGTCAGGAAATGAGGTTGGATCACTAAGTAGACATTGAGTTTGTTAATTTTTCAGCCATGCTAAGAAGTAGATTTCAGCATATTGACAGTGTGGACATTAAAGAATTTTGCACATGGTAAAGAAGTCTAGGAAAGATATGATCAGGACAACAGCACTGAGGGTTGAAAAAAATAATGGATTTGAAGGAAATTAAATCAAAACTACATTGAGATTCCATCTTACCACACTCAGAATGGCTATCATCAAGAATACTAAAAACAAGCGGCTGGGGATGTAGCTCAGTGGCTCTGTGCCTGCCTGGCAAACACAAGGTCCTGAGTTCAATCCCCACTACCGCAAAAAAAAAAAAAAAAAAAGAATACAAAAAACAAATGTGGGTGAGAATGGGTATGGGGAAATTTTCTACACTGCTGGTGGGAATGTAAATTACTAGAGCCACTATGGAAATCAAGATGAAGGCTCCTCAAAAAACTAAAACTAGAACTACCATTCGATCTAGCTATACCACTCCTTGGTGTTTACCCAAAGTCACCATATCATAGGGGTACCTGGATGCCCATGTTTATCACAGCACAATATACAATAGCCATGATATAAAACCAGCCCAGGCGCCCAGCAATAGATGAACGGATAAAGAAAATGTGCTATCTATCTATCTATCTATATATATATATATGCACAATAGAATTTTATTCAACCATAAAAAGAATGAAATTTCGTCATTTGCAGGAAAATGGAAGGATCTGGAAATCATCATGTGAGTGAAATAAGCCACTCAGAGAGACAAATATCACATGTTCTCCCTAATATGTGGAATGTAAAAAAAAAAAGGACAAGAAAATAGAAGAGAGATTATTATTAGATAAGAGCAAGGGAAGAAGGAGGAGAAAGTGTAAGGGCATTAAATACGGGGCATGAATGTCATTTTTTTGAAATATTCATTGAAACCCTCCTCCAAAAAATGTGAAACTAGGGGGAAGGGATGGGCAAGGATGGTGATGGAGGGGGTTATGCTGTGTGCATGTACAAATCTGCCAAAACAGAACCTATTAAACTGTATGACCACTACACACTAATGAAAACTGTAGGGAGAAGATAAAAAATAATGCCTTTGAGAAACAATTATGAGATCAAAACAGCAGTACTTGGAGAGAAGAGAGACACGGGGATGAATTTCCAAATTTCTAAGTTATGTACCTAAGACTAAATGGGAGTCTCATTTTCTAAGAAAAGAAATGTATAAAAAGTATTTCAAAAGGGATGAAGTGACAAGTACCATAATGAGTCTTTTTTTTCATTTTTAAGAGGCAGGGTCTTCCTAAGTCACTAAATTGCCCAAGCTGGGCTCAAAACTCAGGATCCTTGAGAACACGTGGAATCAGCCCACTGCAGACAGGCAGGTCTGTGCACACCCTACCGAGGTCATGAGTTGCATGGAAGACACTGAATCACCCCACTGCAGACAGGCAGCCACCTGATTCCACACTGTAAAGACGCAGAGGACACCAGACCACCAGACCAAGGTACTGAGTCCCACTGTTCCCGGCCCAGAGGTAGGGGCTTCTGAGCCATCATCCCACTGCTCC